GAAGCCACTCAGTTTATGGCATGTTGTAACTGTAGACCCAGAAAACTACTACAGTTACCAACAGAATGAAGTGTCAGTTACAAATTCAACTTTATAAGTATTAAATAAAGTAGATGTCAAGATTGGTAAAGCAAGTTTGCTATGGGTATTTAATTCAAGGCAGGTCCAGTTTATAATCACTTTCAAAATACTGTCTGGTTACATTTGGGCAGATAGGATGCTATATGTAATTACATTCAGATAATTACTTTATGAGTCCCACACAACTATATTCAGGCATACCTCATTTTATTAGACTTCACTTTATTGCACTTCACAGATACTGCATTTTTTTTTTTTTTTTTTTTTTTTTTTTGAGACGGAGTCTCGCTCTGCCGCCCAGGCTGGAGTGCAGTGGCCTGATCTCAGCTCACTGCAAGCTCCGCCTCCCGGGTTTACGCCATTCTCCTGCCTCAGCCTCCCAAGTAGCTGAGACTACAGGCGCCCGCCTGGTCGCCCGGCTAGTTTTTTGTATTTTTTAGTAGAGAGGGGGTTTCACCGTGTTAGCCAGGATGGTCTCGATTTCCTGACCTCGTGATCCGCCCATCTTGGCCTCCCAAAATGTTGGGATTACAGGCTTGAGCCACCGCGCCCGGCCAGATACTGCATTTTTTTTCATGGAAGGTTTACAGCAACCCTGTATTAAGCAAGTTTATCAGCATCATTTTTTTAAATAACATGTGCTCATCTTGTGTCTCTGTGTTATATTTTGACAATCTTCACAATATTTCAATCATTTATTTTCATTATTATTGTATCTGCTATGGTAACCCGTGATCAGTGATCATTGATGTTACTATTGTAATTGTTTTGGAGTGCTACAAACTGCACCCATATATGATGGTAAGCTTAATTAATCAATGCTGTATGTGGACTGACTGCTTCACCAATCAGTTGTTCCCCTATCTCTCTCCCTCTTCTCAGGCCTTTCTATTTCCTGAGACATAACAATCTGAAAATGAGGCCAATTAATAACCCTACAATGGCCTCTAAGTGTTCAGCTGAAAGGAATAGTAGCACATCTCCCACTTTAAATCAAAAGCTATAAATGATGTTCAGTGAGGAAGATACATAGAAAGCTCAGATAGGATGCAATCTAGGCCACTTGTGCTAAATAGTTAGCCAAGTTGTGAAAACAAAGGAAAAATTATTGAAGGAAATTAAAATTGCTACTCTCTTTAATTCTGTGAAGCATCAGGGTGATGGGAAAGCTTCAGAGGAAAAGGTTGAAATTAGCAATTGTTGGCTTATGAAGTTTAAGGAAAGAAGTCATCCTCATAACCTGAGTGCAAGGTAAAGCAGCAAGTGCAGATGTAGAGGCAGCGGCAAATTTTCCAGAAGATCTAGCTGAGATAATGGAGGAAGGTGGCTATGCTAACAACAGATTTTCAGTATAGACGAAACAGCTTTCTGTTGGAAAAAGATGCCATCTATAACTTTCATGGCTGGAAAGAAGTCAATGCCTAGCTTCAAAACTGCAAAGGATTAGTGCAGAGAGGCAGATCTCTTGTCAGGGACTAATGCAGCTGGTGACTTTAAGTTGAAGCTGATGCTCACTTACTGTTCTGAAAATCCTAGAACTCTTAAGAATTATGCTAAGTCTTCCCTGCCTGTGCTCTATAAATGGAACAATTTCCATTTTGCTGGAAACAGAAGAGAGAGCTGGATCATAGCACAACTGTTTACAGCATAGTTTACTAAATATTTTAAGCCCACTGTGGAGACCTACTGCTCGGAAAAAAAATTCTTTGAAAATATTACTTACATAACAATGCACCTGATTACCTGAGAGCTCTGATGAAGGTGTACCAGGAGGTTCATGTTGTTTTCATGCCTCATAATACAACATCCATTCTGCTACACATAGGTCATGGAGTAATTTTGACTTTCAAATCTTTTTATTTAAAAAGACATTTTATAAGGCTCTAACTGCTATTCATAGTAATTCCTCTGATGGATCTAGGCAAAGTCAACTGAAAATCTGGAAAGAATTCACCAATTTAGATGGCATTAAAATATTTGTGATTCATGGGAGGAAGTCAACATATGAAGGTTAATAGGATTTTGGAAGAAGTTGATTCCAACTCTCATAGATAATTTTGAGGTATTCAAAACTGCAGTGAAGGAAGTAATTGCAGATGTGGTAGAAATAGCCAAATAAATAAAATTGAAAGTGGAGCCTGAAGACGTGACTGAATTCCTGAAATCCCATGATCAAACTTGAGCAAATAAGGTGTCAATTCTTACGCATTGGCAAAGAAAGTGCTTTCTTGAGATGAAGTCTACTTCTGGTGAAGGTGCTGTGAACACTGTTGAAATGACAGAAAAGGACCTAAAATATTATATAAACTTAGTTGATAAAGCTGCGTCAGGATTTGAGAGGACTGATTCCAATTTTGAAATAAGTTCTACTGTAAGCTAAATGCTATTAAACAAAAGTGTGTGCTACCAAGAATTCTTACATGAAAGGAATAGTCAATTGATTCAGCAAATTCATCGTTGTCTTATTTTCAGAAATTTCTACAGCCACCCCAAACTTCAGCAACCATTATTCTGATCAGTCAGCAACCATTCATATTGAGGCTAGACTCACCTCTAGCCAAAAAATTACAACTCGCTGAAGGCTCAGATGAGATGATCATTGGCATTTCATAACAGCAAAATACTTTTCATTAAGGTATATGCATTTTTAGATACAATGCAATTTCACACTTAATAGACTACAGTATTGTGTAAACATAACTTTTATGTGTACTGAGAAACCAAAAACTTGTGTGACTCGCTTTATTACTATATTCACTTTGTTGCCCTGGTCACGGAACTGAACCTATAACCTCTCCAGGGTATGCCTGTGTTTCAAAAAAGAAGTCTTAAGAACATTACCTAACTTCCTGAAAAAATATTAGATTTTAAGCTTTGCATCATTTTATTTGCTGTGACTCAGCACATAATAAATGTGACTCTTGATATGACTTTCTTCCCAGATAATTAAGAACGAAGTTTCTTTCATGTAGATGGGTAGCAATTTTGTTAATGGTGATAAAAAAAATGCTGATCAGGAAGAGATGAGTCAATCAGCTTCAAAGAAACTTAAGAAAAATCAATATATTTATTAAAAATGAGCAGTTCACAGTAAGCACAGATGAAGATGAATTATTCTGTGTTATGTGGAATATCACCACAGGGAACAATTTCACTGAACTGTAAGAATGGTGAGGGATGAGGAGGGTGCCTGTTGGGGACCCCTGGTGCTTCTATAATTTAATAAAAGATAAAGAATTGATGAGTGACTCAGATTTCTTAGTGTAAGATGCTCCTATTTACTCAGTAATAATTTTTGACAATTCAATTTTCTAAGAAAAAATAATTAATCTTTTGCTGTCCACATTATTTGGCATGATATTTATGGAGTTTTCCAAAATATTCTATTTTAAAACGCACTAAGACTTTATTTTTATACAGTAGATACATTTATATAAAGTTAAGGTATTTCAAGATAAACAAGACAAATTGAAATAAAAAAACTTGATTTCCATTCTGCGTACAATATTCTCTATAATTACAATGTAGGTTTTGGCCACTTGTTTTGACTAACATAGCTATGCCATCATTTAAATGTCTGTATGCCTTTGTCTTTTGTAAATTAAAATTCAGACATACAAAGAAATATAATAAGGAGAGTTAGGAGAGCAGTGATAAAAGATAAAATGGCACCACAGTATTTCCTAAATAAGGGATAGTGGTTTTCTTCTATTTGTTTGCTTTTTGTAAACAATATTTTCTTATATACTATTTTCTCTTGCAAAGATGTTAATAATAACCGCAGAGTGGGTAAGTTAATTTTGTTTATTCACTCTCTGATATCAATGCTTCTTTGTTCATTAAGAAGATCTTTCTTCTAAGCCTTTTAATTTTCTGTCAAGCATAGAGTTTTCCTATTATTTGCAAATCTGTGCTAAACTTATATTTGTACCTAAGGTATAGTGTATCCACCAAATGTCATTCTAAAGTATGCATATTTAAAAATCTGTAACATATATATGTATATATTTGAGAAAAAATATATATATTCTGTTTTGGGAGTGATAATACTACTAATTTTTTTTTTAAATAATTAAAACTCAAAGTCAAAAATTAGTACAATTTTACAGGATATGTGAAAAATTGTCTTCCAAATAAAAAGGTAAAATAGTTTAAAAATATACCTAACTTGTTTTATCATGGTTAATATATATTTCTAAAAGTGATAAAACTTAAAATAGTTATTTTTATTTACTTTTTTTTCTTTTGGAGATGAGGTCTTATTCAATAATATTTTTAAAAATATTTTCTTTCAAGTTTCAACCCTACTAGAGTAATAGTAATAGTATTGATTGTACTTTAAAGTGAAATAGTTTGTCTACATAATAATTTTAAGTATTTGCATAAGGATGTTTGCAATTTTAAAAATAATTTGCTACCATTACACTCTCTTAAATCTTGAATTTTCAGTTAGCTAAGTGCATCAATATAGGAGACAAAAAAATGTGATTTAGTTCAGATCAGAACCAAAGTCCTCTTTCTCAAGATACTCTCTTTATTGTCCACGTTTTAGTTTTTCTATACTTAACCATTTTCTTTTTCTCTATCTAAAAGAATGAATTTTACTCTTACACTAAAGAATAAATGGTGTAAATATTCTCACTCTTTTCTAAAGTAACATTTATTGCTAAAACCTGTTTCACAGGATTCTAATTTTAAATAACGAGCAAGAAACTAAATAAAGAATCTATAAAATTATGTCTTTCATAGGTGTCTTTTATATAATAAATTAATAAAGATATAGATCATGTAAATTTAAGAAATATGTTAATTGAAATAAAATGTTAAGTTAATCAAAATCATACTAGGATGTTTATAACTAATACTAGTACAAATAATGAGAGATACAAATATATTGCAAATGTATGACTAGTAGTTCTAAATAAAGGATGTTTTGTCAGTTTACTCATTTAATATTTTATCTTTTATGCTTTTCGAGAGTAACATACATTCAAGAAGTAAAAAGCACAAGTCGACAGCTTGATTAATATTTACATATTTAATCGCAAACTAGAAAATGATATAGAGTATTTCACCCAAGAATGTTCCTTTATGTTCGGTTTTAGTCAACATCCACATCTGCCCCACTTTGGAAAGCTTTCTTTCACTTTCTAGCACCATCAATTAGTTTTGCCTATTCTTGAACATAATCTTTACTAAGACAGAGAAAGCTGTGTTAGTCCTCAAGTTCTCATCACAGAACAATTTATTATCAGTTATACTTAATCACAAGCTTCTCTAGTAAAACGTATGGCAGTGCTACTCCAGCAATAGCACTGACAGAGTAAAATGTCAGATCATAACACCTGTATGCCTATATATTTTGCTCCATGGAGCACTGTAATTTGTGCACAAAGAAGCAAAAGGAAAAAACAAACTTTGGAGAAAGTTGTAGCTTTCATAGGACAAACAGACAAATGATTATTGGTGGAATATGCCCAACTATGAAGAAGTTCACTTTGTGTGATTTATAGGACATTACTCTCAGAGAGGGATTTTCTCGTCTTCATTTACTCACAGAATCCTTGGGAAAAAAATCAAGGAGCCTGCCTTTATAAATGCTTTGTGTATATATACTTTGGATTAAAATATATAAGGAGTTATGCTGGAGCTTTCATTTACAAGCAGAGATGGAAAAGGCAACCTTCAACCTGCTCAAGGTAAATTTAGATCCTTTTGTACAGCCTCTGGAAATTCTGCCCTTTATAGAAAAGAGACTTTAAGAATCCTGTACATTGGACCAGGGAAGCAACAAAGAAGCATTCTCCCCAGCGTTTTTGATGGAAAGAAAAGCTCACTTTCCCTTAAAGAATCAATAAATAGGCTGGGTGCGGTGTCTCACGACTGTAATTCCAGAACTTTGGGAGGTTGAGGTGGGAGGATCACTTGAGGTCAGGAGTTCAAGACCAGCCTGGCCAACATGGTGAAACCCTGTCTTTACTAAAAATACAAAAATTAGCCATGCATGGTTGTGGGCACTTATAATCCCAGTAACTCAGGAGGCTGAGGCAGGAGAATCACTTGAACCCAGGAGGCATAGGTTGCAGTGAACCGAGATCATGCTATTCATTGCACTTCAACCTGGGCGACAAGAGTGAAACCCCACCTCAAAAAAAAAAAAAAAAAAAAAAAAAATCAATAAATACGTCTGCATATGCATACATGCAGACACCAAATTTTCATGGATTTTGATGTAAGGGCAGTCCTAGTCTAGAAATTAATATTAAAATACTACCTTAAGACTAGTGAAACTCAGTGAAAATGCAAAAGCATAATCCATATTATTGAAACATCTTTTCAAACCTTATAAACCCACAAATAAATACTCACTAGAACAGCTCTGTTAGGTAGTTTATTCTAATCCCCATGAATGTGAATTTAATGTGATATCATGCTCTAATTTTGTTACATCATATGACAAAAGAGATTTTTCAAATCTAATTAAAGTTACTCATTAATGTATTGTGAGTTTTAAAAAGAGAGGATGTCTGCGTGAGATTGTCTGTGTGAGGGATATTGCAAGTGTGAAAAAGATTTGACACTCCATTACTGGTTAGAAAATACAGGGAGCTACATAAGGAGAAATGTGAGCTGCCTTTCAAGGCTGAGAGCCGTCCCCAACTGACAGTCCTCATTAATTGAGGTCCTCAGTCTCAAAAAGACTGAATTCTACCAAAAAAATGGAATGAGCTTGGAAGCAGAATTTTCCCTAGGTCCTATTGATGAGTCTGGTTATGCCAATACTTTGGTTCCAGCCCCCTAAGACCTTAGCAGAGAATGTGCAGGAGCCTGTATCAGGACAATTCTCTAGGAGACCTCGGACAGACTAAGTTTTTCCTGCTTTCTTGCTTGTAGTACTCAAGAATAACTGTAAATGTGCTGGCAATGCAGTATCTTGAAACAGGGGGAACTTTCTGAAAAAGTCTGAGCCTTGTTCCTAGTCTCCCTCCTAGGAGACTTCCAGGAACAGTCCCGGTATTGTTCTTCTCTCCCCTGGGAGCAAGATGTCCTTCAAATCTTTGCCCAATGAGTCATGTGACCCCTGAATGTATAACCTAGGGTGGGCTGCTTTTTTCCGGGTCTCTCAGCTGTGGTGGAAGTGGGGTACCTGCAGTTGAGACTTCTTCCACCCTGGGAAGCCATCTTGAGCCTTAAGAACTGGCTTGCAATGAATCCTGGACCTCTTTTGTCCCTTGCTGCCTACCTATTAGGTAATACATCCACTTCATGTAACCGGTTGCATATGAGTGTGTTATGTCTCACTGGACTCAGAGAAGTTGGTATTAGTTTGGTGCAAAAGGAATTGTGGTTTTTGCATTGTTGGAATTTGCCGTTTGATATTAGAATACATTCTAAAATAAATGTAGTTATGTTATACATCATTTTAGTGGGCATTTCTTGTTTTATGGTTTTTTCCTTTTTTCTTTTTTTTTTTTTTGCTAATGACTTATTTGCTGTCTATTTTATGTTTATTTTAGACTATGGAAATGATGTTGGACAAAAAGCAAATTTGAGCATTTTTCTTATTCGAGTTCAAAATGGGTCGTAAAGCAGCAGAGACAACTCACAACATCAAAAACACATTTGGCCCAGGACCTCCTAACAAAGGTACATTGCAATGGTCGTTCAAGAAGTTTTGCAAAGGAGATGAGAGCCTTGAAGATGAGGTGCATAATGGCCATCTATTGGAAGTTGACAACAACCAATTCAAAGCAATCATTGCCTGGCGTGGTGGCTCATACCTGTAATCTCAGCACTTTGGGAGACCGAGGCAGGTGGATAACTTTGAGCTTAGGAGTTTGAGAACAGCCTGAGCAACATGACGAAACCCTGTCTCTACTAAAAATACAAACATTAACTGGGCATGGTGGTGTGCACCTGTAATCCCAGCTGTCTGAGGCTGGATAATCATTTGAACCCTGGAGTCAGAGGTTGCAGTGAACCAAGATCGCTCCACTGACAGCCTGGACAACAGAGCAATACTCCATGTCAGAAAAAAATATATGTACACACATATATATATGTGTGTGTGTGTGTGTGTGTGTGTGTATGTATATGTGTGTGTGTGTGTGTGTATGTATATATATATATATATATATATATATATATATATATATATATATATAAAGGTCGTCATCACCGTTTGGTGGTCTGCTGCTGGTCTGATCTACTACAGCTTCCTGAATCCAGGGGAAACCATTACATCTGAAAAGTATGTTCAGCAAATGGATGAGATGTACCAAAAACTGGCCTGCAGCTGACATTGGTCAACAGAAAAGGCCCAATTCTTTCCCACAACAATGCTCAACTACATGTCGCACAACCAATGCTTTGAAAGTTGAATAAATTGGGCTAAAAAGTTTTGCCTCATCTGCCATGTTCACCCTGACCATGCTACAGTCTTAACAAAATTTTCATGTTACATAACATGGCTTTGTATTTTTCTAACATTCATTAAGAGTTCCATCACCCTTTCTATGTAGCCCCAAAACTATCACCATAATTTTTGTTATAAAAGTACTCATTCCTGGTATTAAATATTTTATCTGTCAATTTACCCAAGCTGTGCAGCTGTAAAAGGATTCTAAAATTTCAGCATCTTACAAGAACAAATATTTATTCGTCATTCATGTTATATATGCATTACTGATTGAGTTCAGTTAACTCTTCTACTTCTTCATGAAGGGGCATAGGCTGAAGAAATAGCTTAAGATACATTGCTGGCTATAAGAAATAGCTTAAGATACATACCTCTTACCAGAGGTAAAGGGGAGAATACAGAGGAACCCAATGATGACTCTTCTAGTAAAAATGAATCTCCTCCATTTATATTTCTTTAACCAAAGCAAGTCCCACAGTCAAGCATATTATCAATGAACAAGCATGTATAATCTTTCCACAAGAAAGGGAAGTTTATATTTTGTACATTATAAGTTAGCAGCAGGAGCAGTGTTTTTCACTTTTTCATTCCTTTTTTTTTTTTTTTTTTTTGTCTTTGATGGATATAATTCCTTCAAATATTCCTGAAGTAGATGCTTTGGACTTTGTGTTGTACAAAAGAAGCCCATTCCTTGTTCTCAGTAAGCTCAAAATTTACAAAATGAGATAAATGCTTTGAAGATACATGGAAATGATGTGATTGAAGATGAACAGATTGTAACCAGGTGAAGAGTAGAGGGGAGTTCTTTCTGCTAAGACAGAGTAGATGTTATAAGAACAACCCTCCTACCAAGTCCTAATTAGGATAGTTAGATAAAATTCAAAATCCACCTGTTTGGAGTTACTACAGAGAAACAAAGGCAGCTGAATCACAGTCTTCTTCAAGGCACCAGAGAGAGGGGAAGTACATTTTGGTGAACCTAACATGTCACCAACTTTGCCCTCAAGAGTTTTTGCCAATTTGTATCCAGCCTGTGTATGGTTGAAAGGCAAGCAGAAGGTGCTACAAACGGCTGAAAAGTTTGGTAGTTTAGGTAGTCTTACGAGACTGAGAAGGCCGAAAAAATATTCACAATTTCCAAAGCAGCCAGAGTATAAAAGTTAAGAACTCAGACAGAATGAGAGACAAAGAGAATAAAGAGTGAACATCATTTTCATTCTCTTTTTTGTTTGTTTGTTTGTTTTGTTTTTTGAGACGGAGTCTCGCTCTGTCGCCCAGGCTGGAGTGCAGTGGCGCGATCTCGGCTCACTGCAAGCTCCGCCTCCTGGGTTTACGCCATTCTCCTGCCTCAGCCTCCTGAGTAGCTGGGACTACAGGCGCCCACAACCGCGCCCGGCTAATTTTTTGTATTTTTAGTAGAGACGGGGTTTCACCGTGGTCTCGATCTCCTGACCTTGTGATCCGCCCGCCTCGGCCTCCCAAAGTGCTGGGATTACAGGCGTGAGCCACCGCGCCCGGCCTCATTTTCATTCTTGAGCCATTTCTTAATTGGTAAGCAGGGCAGGAATGAGAAAGTGAGGAGATTCCAGCAGCCTCATAGAATGATGGAAAAAATAAGCAGATTTCAGGGGTTTCCAAGAAGAGAATTCAGCTGAGATCCTTGGAAACCTGCCTCTAAAAGTAAGTAGCACTGGGAACACAAGGGTTCTATAATGAACAAAATCCATCTTGGCTTAGCTCCATGCTGTGATAAAGTGATTTTCTCTGGCTTTAATTGCATACTAGACATAAAGATAACTTTTTTTGTGGAAGGATAACATCTTACAGAGTTGGCAATATTTTTTTCACACAATGTGTAGTATTTAATAAAAATTTACCAGTCACACCAGGAGACAGAGCTATAAGGCCAAAAAAAAAAAAAAAAAAAAAATCAGTGGAGCAGAATCACATTAGACCTAGTTACTACCGTGATCACAATGATTATTATTATTATTTTTTGAGATGGAGTCTTGCTCTTGTTTCTTAGGCTGGAGTGCAACTCTTGACCTCGTGATCTGCCAGCCTTGGCCTCCCAAAGTTCTGTGATTACGGGTGTGAGCCACTGTGCCCAACCTGATTAAATTTATATATATGAAAAATTAAGATATATGACAGCAATAGTAAAATATTTAAAAGCATGGTAAATGAAATGTCTTAAGGTCTTTCATTATTTAGAAATTGCTAGAATATGTAATCTAGATAAGAATGTAGCTTGTTAAGGATGCATATTATAGTCTCTAAAGAAAACACTAAGTTGTCAAATATTGCATAACTAACAAGCTAACAGAGGAGATATTTACGTAGCAATATTTGATTAGTTGCTATTTTGATTTTTCTTCATGTTTGATTAGAACAAGATGTTAATGCTATCCAGTGTCTCTGGGCATGAAGTTGGTGGACAGCTACTGAAAGAAGCACAAAAGAACAAATTGCAGAATCCAATTTCTTGATTAGAATCCCAGTTCCACCACTTAGTATCTACATGATCTTAAAACATTCTTAACCTGCTATATCATCATTTCATCATCTATTGTCACACAGTGATAATAATAATGATTATGGAATAGATTTTAGTGAATATTAAATAAGACATCCATATCAATACACTAACAACAATCCCTGGCACAGAGTTTGTGCTTAAAAATATTATTCATTATTACAAAAATATTCAAAATCTACTAATTTCAGTTTTTCTACTCAGACTTTCTAAGTGGCTGAGGGCCAGAAGAATAATTAATTAAATGCTTATTTTGAGAAACACTACAATATACACAATGCAAATTAATATTCAATCAAGTTCTTTTAAATGAACTAAAATAAAACAAATATAGTTAAGAACTTTGAAAATTTGGTGCATACTATATCATATTTAAAATAAAATTAAAACTGATTGCTTTGACATTTCTAACATATGACCATGATTGTACTGTTACAGAGTCTCAATCCTAAATGAACTATTTAGCTTGAAGAAAAGATTTTAATAAAACTTAAAACATATATTTAAAATGGAAATCAAAAAAACCTTCCACTGAATGTGATGACTGAGTTTATATTGTACCAGTCAATTTCATGTTGAATAATTTCTAAACTGTAAAGGCTTAAATAGTACAGCTATGACCACAATGTATACATTTTACACACCCATTGAACATTTTCTGGAGTAGCTTGATGTGCTGTGCATTATGAAGCAAATAGATAAGTGAAGCTCAAATTTGGTTATTTATTTTGTTTGTTTGTTTTTTTTGTCTTCCATTTACTTCTCTACATCAGGTAGGTAGAAAAAAATATGTTTTACTGGTGAACAGAATTCATTTGCCACTAATTGTTGGCTAAAAAATGGACAAATCCTGGATTAATTGGTTTATAAAAGGAAAACAACTAAGTGGTAAGTTAGCTCAAACAAAATATATTACTACATGAAGTTTTCCCTAAGGAAGAGTTTGCTAGCTGTAACCTGAAGCTATCTGAAGTCTCAGCCCATGCGCTCACCTCAGATACAACATAATTCTTCAGTAAATGGTGAAGACATTATTCTTTCTAGATTTAGAAAGATTTATTACAGGAAATATTCAGGTGTAAGGAATTGAATGAAACAGAATAAACAAATAATTACCAATTCAAATCAGTGGTGAACATCTTCATTACTATTCAAAAAGTAGTTTTTGTCTTAATAAATCCATATTAATTTTCTCAGTTTTCTAATATATGACTAACTTTGTTTGATAATCATTCCATTTAGCATCGATATTATTTCTGAGTTTGAAAAACAAACTCTGGATTTTGAGAAGCATAATTTGTATGCTTAAAACAAAGTTTCTGTTTCAGTTAATTGAACAGCTTATATGGACTTGCAGTGAGTGTGTAAAATAGAAATATCGTTACGCTAGACTTCTAATCTGAGCCCTGTTATGGGAAAAATGCTATTAAATACCACTGGCATATTGCTATGCACAGACCCTGTATTTTCTATGTTCAAACAACTCTTTCTTTGTTTGGTAGGCTGAAATGGAATGAAAGAGCATGAATTGAATATTTCGTGCTGTGCAGGTATGTATAATTCATAATCAACTTCTTCAAAAAGAAATAGATAAGAAGTACTGAAAGCTATAAATGAAATATTTCTATACTTAACAGATACACTGCATAAAGATCTTTTAAGGTTTATCTGCACTGATGCCGAAAAATTACAAAAATAACAAGCCACTAAGTATGAATCAGACAGAGAGAGAAATAGAAAAGAGTTAAACAGAACAATGGATAGCTGTCCATATAAAACATAGAAGTAGTTTTCTCTCAAGTAACAAAATGTTAGCAAAGTTTGTAGCAAGATATTTGAGTCAATTACTCACTTCTTCCCTTTTTTCTTGTGAATGCAATGTGAATGGTAAAGTTATTAAAAGAGGATATTTCAAAATTCCTCTTAAAATGTTAAATTAAAGATAACTATGGTCAGTTCCTTCCCTCACTCAAGTGTTCATTCATTTATTAATTCCACAAATCTTTATCGAGCAGCCACCATTTATCAGTGTTTATAAATGGAATGACCATGTAATTTATAATCCAAACTAAGACAAGTTTCAGTGTAAAGAGGAGACAAACATAGAATATTTTGGCGACAGTTCAAAAGTAAAACTGGCTCTTGCAAAACAGGCTTATATGAACACCCCCTTATAAAACTTGCTCTTTGAACTTAAGGACTTCATAGCGTATCATTTTATACTCGAAAAGGAACATAAAACTCTAACGCGGTATGACAACCACAAGAGCACCTCCAGGATGATAGAAATGTGTGTAGGATGAAACTGACCTAGTTAAGATCATGAGAAGATTTTTAGAGAAAGTAACTTTAAGCTGAGGAAAAGAAAATATTGGTTATATTTCAACTGTGTAATAATTACAGATTGGACTTAGTAAAACACTAAAAATAAATTTGAATCCTCTAACCAAATAAATCATTCAGCATAGGAAAAGATTATACATTATCTTCATGAAAACAAAATGAAGTTTGTGTGTTTGTGTGCTCCAAATCATAGAGTAGGTAGAAATACCCAGTCTGAGGCCTAGATCTGAATTATTAAAGAAAACTGCTAAAGTACCATAACAATTCTGTTATCCTAATAAAATTGTTCAATTCTGAATAATATCATAAGCTACAAAATGGTGTTCCCACTTATAAACACAGCAGAATAGTTCTGCTGTATACATACATCTAAACATTTAAAAAGGAGTTCTTGCTAAAAGTTCACTAAAAATATTTTACAACACTCATAACTGTTCTCTCAAGATTTTTATTTGGTGGTATTTTATATATCTTAACGAGTTATTAGAAATAAAAAATAAATTTAATGTTAAGATTGAGAACTGGATATTTACTGAGAAATCTGTTCTTATTGTACAGAAGAAAAGTTAAGCTGCTTCATACAAGGTAGCAATACTAATTATGATCCATGAAGCCTTGATTCCATATCCAATTCATGAAGTATAAGCATGCTTTTGTTAATTACTTATAAAAATGCTTATACAATGACTATTTTGTAAAATTCAGTAAGTAACTATAAATGTTAAATTTGTTTTAACTGAAGAGCAGTTAAATAGCCATAGCTATTTGTTTATAGCATAGTAATTGATTCCTTGATCTAACTGGCTTTCATTGCCAATGAATTTCAATGAGCCGTTTGCATGTGACAGCCTTAAACCTTGCCATCATAGGGAACAGTTTCACTTCCAAGGAAATATTCACAGTGCCCTCTTCCCTTCACATTCCTTGACTTTCATAGTTTCTAATTTTGAAAGATTAATCAAAATTTCATAATTCATTCAGTCCATCAATTCCTTTTTATTACTCAAATCACTCTGATTTCATCCATTAGCTAATAAATCACACCCTGCACCATTCCCTGAAATTTTGTCCTTGCCTTTTCACTGCAATTCTTGTCAAACACACTTAGAGAACCCTGCATCACCTGCCACTCTACTTGCTATTGGTTACTGCCTTGGAGTTGATACCCCACAAAAGAATACTCAAATCCCCCAAAACACTCTTTAAAAATGTTTGTTTAGAGTTTAGTTTATAGTTATTTAGTGGCTGCTACTCTCCTTTTCTTCCCTGAATTCTTCACATTTTTCCTGTACGAAGACAATTTTAATCAATGATGTATTAAAGAGAATATCGCAATATAGATGTATGCCCTAATTTATCCTTCATTTCAGCATTACTTTGAAAAGAGAGCTATTGAGGGTTCACAGTTTATTTGAAAACTTGAAGTTTCTGATTGTCCTTCTGCTTATGTAGGCAGTCTTTATTATATTCTTCATAGGCTGTGCTTTCCTGCATGTTATTTGGCAGAGTTCTGGCTTGTGCCGTCTCTGATATGTCTAATCCTGGATCTTCATTGAACTCTTATTCTCTCTTGATGATCATGGCTAGCAAATTGGCTGAAACGTCAGGAACAACTATGTCCGTATCTCTACTACTATACAATGAAGGCTTTATGCTTTACTTATTAATTTTTGTTCTATAAGATTATAGTATTTATTTTTAATAAATGCATTTAATGAATATATTTAATTTTTTCCAAATGTTTGCATAAATAAAAAACCTTCTTATTAAGAAATAAAATGAATATAATTATCCAAAATCTTCTACCATTGTCTTTTTCAGAAATGTTCTTCTAATTCTTTAAGATAGTTCCTTTACTTTGTTTTGAATAATTTTATAACCTCTACATATTATATATGCATGTGTATGTTTTTTCTGTTTTTTTTTTTCTTAGAATTAATAACTATAAACACTAGTTTGTGGTCACTTTTTTTACCTTAGTTTTGCTTTTTTCAAAAATCTGTAGATTAAATCCTTTTTATATCTACATCAATATTAAAGATGATCTAACATATGTCCCCATGTTAAGCATATCAATAACTGAGAGTGGTCTGAAGTTTACCTTAATTGCAGGTTAGCAAGCTCGTTATGTTTCATGCATGCTGACAGGAGACAGAAGATTCCTGGGTCACAGACAAAATATTTTATTATATACAGGCGACAGCAGGAGCTTGTTCTTTGTGCAAGTTTCCTATGTGCCCCAAGTCCCTGGTGAGCCTGGACAGGTTGTAGGCACATGGTTTGTGACATAGCAGGGGAACCACCAACTTAGGAAATTATATTTCTTAATAATGGGATGCAAACAAACCTGACCAACATTTGCTCTAAAAGAAAACATTACCTTTATTGTACTGGATAGTAAGCAAACCCACCCTCTGTAAAGCAAAGAAAAACCCTTTCTTCCAAGACTGTTTTACAAGCAGCCTTGGAAATATAGACTATAGCAAAGGGATGTCAGTGCCTCTGCTGACAAGATGGACAGAAATGTGTGTACCATGAAGAATTATCTTTGAATAATGCAGACTTGCAATCAACTTCTTGTTTCACAATACAAAATAAGATTTTCTTCTTTCACATTTTCTGATTTTCTGGCTCTTTCATTTGATTGGGAACCTGTAATGTCAAATCCTTGATAATGTTAAGACTTTTTTTAAAAATTTGCTCTTTCCAGGTAGTGTTTATTAATAAAAACAGAACTACCAAAACACAAGTTTCCTATAAAATATATCTGTTGGGATATGCATAAGAAAAAAAGGCACTGTTCATTGGCAATAAGAAATTTTTTTTTTTTTGCTTTAAATAAAAGAAGAAAAATACATGCGATAATTTGATACAGGCACACAATGCAGGGTAATCACACCATTTAAAATGGGGTTTCCAGTCCCCAAAACATTCATCCATAATTATGCAATTATACTCCTTCAGTTATTTTTAAATGTACAATTAAATTTTATTGGCTATAGACATCCTATTGCACTATCAAATGATAGGTCTTATTACTCTTTCTAAATATGGTTTTCCTATCTATTAACCAACCCTACCTCCCCTACTACCCTTCCCAGCTTCTGGTAACCATCTTTCTACTCTCTCTGTCCATGAGTTCAATTGTTTTGATTTTTAGATCTCATAAATAAGTGAGAACATGCAATGTCTGTCTTTCTGCGCCTGGCTTATTTCCTGTAGCATAATGACCTCCAGTTCTATCATGTCACTTCAAACGACAGGTTCTCATTCTTTTTTATGGCCAAATGTTATTCCGTTGTGTACCAGTGCCACATTTTCATTATCTATTCATCTCTTGATGGACACTTAGGTCGCTTCCAAATTTTGGCTATTGTGAAGAGGACTGCCACAAACATGGAAGTGTGGGTATCTCTTCAACATACTGACTTCCCTTCTTTTGGGTACATAACTAACAGTGGGATTAGTGGATGATAAGTAATTCTGTTTCCAGACTTTTAAGGATCCTCCAAACTGTTTTGATACTGGTTGTACTAATTTATAATCCTAGCAACAGTGTACAAGGGTTCCTTTTCTCCATGTCCTCACCAGCATTTGTTATTGCTTGTCATTTGGATATAAGCCATTTTTACTGGGATGAGATGATATCTCGCTGTAGTTTTGATTTGCTTTTTTCGGATAATCAACGATATTGAACACCCTTTTCTAAAGCTGCTTACCATTTGTATGTCTTCTTTTGAGAAATGTCTATTCAAATCTTTGGCCCATTTTTTTGATGGGATTATTAGATTTTTTTTTGTTTGAGCTATTCATATATTCTGGTGAGAATCCCTTGTCATACGGGTGGTTTGCAAATACTTTCTCCCATTTTATGGGTTGTGTCTTCACTTTATTGGTTGCTTCCTTTGCTGGGCAGATGGCTTTTAACTTGATACGATACCACTTGTCCATTTTTGCTTTGGTTGCCAGAGCTTGTGGCATACTGCTCAAGAAAATTTTGCCCAGACCAGTGTCATGGAGTGTTTCCCCAATGTTTTTTTGTAGTGGTTTCATAGTTTGAGGTATTTGCTTTAAGTGTTTAATTCATTTGATTTAATTTTGTATTTGTGAGAGATTGGGGTCTAGCTCCATTTTTCTGCATATAGTTATCCAATTCTCCCGATACTATTATTAAAAAGACTGTCTTTTCTCCAGGGTATGTTCTTGGAAACCTTGTCAAAAATGAGTTCACTCTAGGTGTATGTATTTGCCTCTGGATTCTCTATTTTCTTCCAATGGTCTATGTGCCTGTTTTTATGCAAGTACCACACTGTTTTGGTTGCTATACCTCTGCAGCATAGTTTGAAGTCAGTAATGTGATCAGGGGTTTTGTTTGTTTGTTTTACTTTGTTTTGTTTTGTTTTGATTTTTTTGGCATAAGATAGCTTTGGCTATTCTGGGTCTTTTTGGGATTTCATATAAGTGTTAGGATTTTTTTTCTGTATCTGTGAAGAATGTCATTGACATTTTGATAGCAATTGTATTGAATCTATAGATCATTTAGAGTAGTCTGGATATTTTAACAACACTGATTCTTCCTCTCTATGAAGATGAAATAACTTTATATATTTCGGTATCCTCTTCAATTTCTTTCATCAGTGTTTTATCGTTCTCATCATAAAGAACTTCTACTTCATTGGTTAATTTGTAGGTGTTTAATTTTATTTGTGGCATTTGTAAATGGGATCACTTTTTAAATTCTTTTTCAGATTGTTTATATTAGCATAAAGAAATGCTAATAATTTTTGTATGCTGATTTTGTATCCTGAAACTTTACTAAATTTGTTTATCAGTTCTAATACTTTTTGATGGAGTCTTCAGGTTTTTTCAAATATAAGATCATGTCATATGCAAACAAGAATACTTTGACTTCTTTCTTTCCAGTCTGGATGCCCTTTATTCCCTTCTCTTTTCTAATTGCTCTAGCTAGGACTCCCAGCATCATGTTGAATAACAGACATAAAAGTTAGATTCTTGTGGTGTTCCACAACTTACAGGAAAGGCTTTCAGTTTTTCCCTGGTTGGTATGCTACTAGCTGTGGGTCTGTAGCACATGGCTTTTATTATATTGAGGCATGTTCATTCTATCTCCAGTTTTTGAGGGATTTTATCATGAAGGAATGTTGAATTTTATCAAATGATTTTTCAGCACCAGTTGAAGTGATTTTATGGTTTTTGGTTTTCATTCTGTTGATATGATGTACCAGATTGATTTGCATATGTTAAACCATCTTTGCATCCTTTTTCAAAACCTTACTTGGTCATGATGACTGAATTTTATAACATATTGCTGAATTTGGTTTGTAGTATTTTATTGAGGACTTTTACATCAATATTTTCAGAGATATTGGCCTTTTCTTAATGTGCCTGTCTGGTTTTGGTATTAGGCTAATACTGGCCTCATAGAATGATTTTGAAAATATTCCCTCCTCTGTTTTTCAGAACAGTTTGAGTAGGATACATTTTAGTTCTTCTTTCAATGCTTGATAAAATTATGCAGTGAAGTCATTGGGTCCTGGGCTCTTCTTTCCTGGGAGACTTCTTAATACAACTTCAATCTTGTTACT